TATGCACTGTAAGCCTATTGAATCACATATGACTTGTTTATTTGTATGAATACATTGCCAACAGCTTAAAAAAGAATAAGTTTTTTTTAGAGTTTCTATTGTAAAAGTTTTTAAACAATAAGATCCCATCCTATAAATATTGGTTTTATTTTTTCCAGAATGTAGAGCAACTGATGTATGCTGACTTTGATCTTGTCAAGAGTGAAGCTAAAATTATCCATACGGATCCCGAGACTGAATATTCCAGTGTCAGGGTAAGGCTACACTAGTGGTGTTAGACAGTTTTAATTACAGTAGAAACATATGTAAGGAAAGACTAATAGTGTAATGGATTTTAGAGTGTGAATACAATATTTATTCGAATAATAATAAACACCCTGCCTTGAATAAATTCCCCCTGTTCAGAGCCTCATTTGGAATAAAACGCCTCCCTCAAATAAACACCCCAGGGCGATAATTTTTTTCTTGAATAAATGTACGCCCCCCCTCCCCTTCAAATGACTGTTAACAAAACTAAATGGAAGAAACATAATTCTCAACACATTCTGTTAATGTTCTACTCCAGTAGAATTACACTTTTCTTACCTGTTTGGGATCAATAGGTCTTTAATTTAATGATCATGCAATAACACAATTTGACAATAATTATGTGTTTTAGTTCCACATTTACAGTGAAATTCAAGAATGTTTTTATTTAAGTATACTTATCTATTTTACATCCTCTTTCGAATAAAGCCTCCATTGAATAAACACCTTCAAAAAACCTTCTCAACAATAAAAGCGTTTATTCAAATAAATACAGTATACAAATAATGTGATTATTTTTTAATTCATATTTATTTTATCCATTCAACACTTTTTATCGTTTGCTAATTTTGTTTTATTCAGTCTGAAAAACAACTGACTTACGCTGATCTAGACCTCACCAAAGATGTCAATACTGGAAGCAAAGGCAAAATTATCCGCACGCAGCCGGAGACTGAATATTCCAGCGTCATGATAACCAAAAAATAAGAAACATAACCTGTCAAAAAGCCAACAGTTAGAGCAGAATAAAATAAATAAGTATTGAAATTAATGTGAAAACTCATTCCTGTAGGAATTTTAGATGTAGCAATTTGGATTACAGTAACTTTGAATTCTTTTGATAACAATTATTAGCAGATTGAACAATTGCAATTGTGAATTACATCATTTTAATTCTGATTAAACAAACCGAATGCTTTAAGCTTCTTGCTCTGCTTTGTGTTATTTGTATATTAAATAATCTGTATTTTTACGTTTGATAATAATTATTACTTTTGTATTTGATGATACTCAGTGTTTTTGTATTTGTTAATAATTATATCTTTGTATTTTAATATACTCAATGTTTTTGTATTATAAGTACAAGATTATTTTTCCATTTAAGTACTTCATATTTTTGTATTGACGTGTATGATTGTATTGGGTTTTTTGTATTGCTATATGTTAATGTTTGTTAATTTGAAAAAGAGCTATGTGAGCATGCATTGCAAAGATTTTGATGGATATATCTATGCTGAATTGATTTTACTAATTATTCCAATATATGTAATTAACGATTTTTAAAGAGTAATTTTATACAATATATTTTTTGATATAAAAGCGTAATAAATATTTTTGATAGCAGATAGCATATTTCAATAATTTTTTAGAAATTTTCTTATGGTACAATTTTAATTATGCCTAAATGCCTACCATTTATTAATAAGAATATTGGAATATTTACATTCACAGAGAGGCGGATAGTGGGATTTTTGTTTTTGACACTTCCATTTCCCAATTTCATCAGTTTGATCAAAATATTGTTAAAATTTTCGGTCCTGCCTTTTTTTTTAAATTTTTTTTAAAATATTGGATTCAATCAATAAGCTCAATCCTTTCCGAGACACTAGCGCTCATAGGGCTGGAGCTTATCCCCAGTTTCTGTAGTGTGAAGCGGATGAGAGTTGTACTCCCCCTGAACGGGACACTAGTCCGTCGCAGGTTAGTCCCCAGCAGTTTGCTGGTACCCATTGATACAGCTGGGTGGACTGAAGCGATGTAGCTAAAGTGCCTTGCCCAAGGACACAAGCGAATCTGCACAGCGAAGACTCGAAAACCCCGACTTTTCGATTGAAAGCCCGAACCTCAGCCGCTGCGCCAAACTGCCGCTACACAAATATATATACAAAAGTAAAAATATTAGTACTGCAATATATAAAAATATATATCAGCAGATGATTTTAGTATTATATTATTATTAATCCATATATGTTGTCGTAGGCATGTTTTTGTTTCCCAGTGGTTTAGTTCGTCGGCTTTACTGGCCTACAGCTTCATTGTGACCGTTTTTAGCGGTTCTATTGTTGTATAGTCATTCAGCAGTTACTTGTTTTGTAGGTACCGTATTCACGCTCATGGATCTTATGTATTTTGTAATACCAGGGAACAGTGAAATTACAGTTTCACTGCTCCCTGGTAATACAATATATTTCTTATAAATTCCTCCATTTACATCTGTGTCATTACCTGATGAAGAGCTATGCTTGAAACGTCGTATTATTTCGAATAAATATTGGCAATATCTTACTTTCGCTTTGCGTTATCATTTGTTTATATATATATTTTTTTTCTATATATATTATTTATAAACAGAATACATAAAACAACAGACTAAGTATTCTTGCACAGCTGTGGTGACAACTTTGGGGTCTTTAAAGATGATATTTCGTGGTAGTGCATACCATTCTTTGAGATTTTTGGTTAAATAGTATTTGTATGTATCTTTGAATGCCTGGAGACTTGGTATGGAAAGCAATGGCTGTGTTTAGTTTGGCGGAGGGTAGGAGTTAATCGGAAAGATTCTGATGGTAGCGTTTAATCTAATAATCTTCTAAAAAAAGACTAGTATATTGTCTATGCAGCATATCTTTGTACAGAAAGAAAGCAAATAAAATCAGTGTTAGAAATTCGGATTATTGGTTATTAAATAATTTTCAATTTTCTTACAGATTTATATGATGTCATGATTGATATTAGTTCTTGTACTGCCGCAAAAAATGTCACAATCGAATGTTCTGCAAATGGCAGTCCACTTCCCGTGGTAAATCTCTTTAAGGATGGCCATGTTATCAAGACCAATAACTTGCGTTTAACATATAAGATAGACATTGTAACAGAGAGTGATGGAGGAAGCTACAAATGTAAAGCGAAAAACAGAGCTGGTTCTAAAGAAAGTGAAACAACAGTTCTCAATTATTGTAAGTATAGGAATATTCAATAAAATAGGTTCATATGGTTTATAGATAAATTTTATTCTTTTACTTATACAGTACCAGAAAAATTAAACATAGTTACAAACATATCTTTGTCATACACATTTATCTAAAGATGACGAAAAAGTAAATTCTTTTATAATGTCTATGTTTTATGAGATGCCAATAAATCAAAAGTACTGTACATCAAACCTGTCGATGTTGACAGGATTTTTCCGAACATATTGTGTAGGTTACTGCTAATAAGAATAACATGAAATATCTTGTAATGAGGTGCCATCTTCGTATACGTACATTAAAAAAAAAAATTAACGAGTCATGAAAGAATTTGTTTAGGTGTCCAATTTTTTTCTTCATTATTGACATAGATTTCTAATGAAATGAAAAACCCTTCTCCAGTGTTTTGGTAATTTAAAGTAGATTTGACAGCATAGTGGTATTCAAGTGCAATATTTTTACTCTAAATTCCTATAGGCCTATATAATGCAACTTATCAGTATCATTTGAATTGTGATTTTGTGTAAATGTGAGAGTCAGCAATAACTAGTGCTATTCATTAGAAATTCAGTTTAGTTTGATTTACTTGCTTTCATCAGAAATTGAAGAAATAAGAATAAATATAAAATTAAGTATATGCATTTATAGGATAATGGTAGCATAATGGTAAATCTTGGCTCTACAAGTAAACACAAGCAGTAATTTTGTCACGGACCCCTTCAACATATTGCAGTATGACAAGAAATTTACAAGATACTTATAATATTTCATGAAGACTAACAAATAAAATCCCCAGCTTAATGATATCAACAGCAACTCAGAATCTTGCTCAACTCAGTAGTGGCACCAGCGGACAGTCCAAGTGAGACCAGGTCGCTGTTGGGAGGGATGTCCGGCAATTTTTTTCAGAATTAGACCAAATTCCAAAGACAACCATGCATGTACTTCATCAATGCAAGCTTCTAAGTTACGAATTATCTCGGAGGCAGCCTGGGGACTAAAAGATGTGTATAGCCATGGAGATGGTATAGCTGAGTATCGTCAGCGTAGATGTGTGTTGTGTATGTTGGTCTATGAATATTTTTAAATTCTGTACAGCGCCGATGAACATTTTTAATGGATATTGTTTTGCGCTTTATTAAATGAAGTTATTATTATTATTATTATTATTATTATTATTATTATTATTATTATTATTATTATTATTATTATTATTATTATTATTATTATGTGATATATAATGGCATGTTTATGGATAACGTTCCGGAGGACGCGTGTAAATGAGAAACAAAATGGGCCTCAAAGTAGAACCTTGAGGGACATCATTAATGGGAACAGGGCATAAGACAGCATATTTAACTCCAACAGACTGTTTTCTACGTGTTAAGAATTGAACCACGACACACTTACCAGAAAAGCCTAAATTTGAAAGTGTACTGATAAGAATACTATGATCTGTCTTATCGAATGCGGCAGACAAATCAAGGTACGCTGACAAGGTTCAATTTCCTTTGCAAAGAACCTGCAGTGTAAAATTCATTCTAAAATTGACAGCATAGTGGTATTCAAAATTCAAACATCAAATTAAATATGAATATTAAATCAAGTAACATGGCAAAAATGAAAAACAAAGCAGAGCTTTTACATAATATGCGAGTCGAATGGCCGAGCGGTTAGGGGCGCTGCGAGCTACATCCATGTATCCATGATATCAGCGCTCTGGTTTGAACAGCACGCTCGCCTGGTTCTGGTGGTTCTCGGATAAGGACTATAAACCGTAGGCCCAGTGTATATAACGGCTCGTGTGCACATTTTTCGAGACGAGAAGTGGATACCTCGGAAAAGACATCCCCTATGATGGACGACCAGAGTTGCTGGTGCCGGGTAGCACAGACACGATGGGACCCTTAGGGTCGAAGAAAGTAATTGAGTGAGTTCCTACTCCAGATTTCAAGCGCCCTAAGCATATTATAAAACTATATTATCATTATTAATATTATTTATATGAATCCCCCGCAAAAAACAGAAGGGCCGACATAACTAACTTAACTACAGCTGGTAGAACTATACCCCGCCGGACACAATACCGGTGTTTTTACAAAAGGTTTCAGGTTTGAAATAAAAACGTTTAAAAGAAAAAATTACAAATACTTATTGTTGAGTTCATTATGGAGCTCTCTTTTGAAAGAAGAATTGTGATTTTGAGATTTCAGTAGTTGTGAGAGGTTATTCCATATTCTTACACCTTGGTATGTTATCCATTGTTGGCCTATTTTAGTTCTTTTAAAATTAATACGAATCTGATTTTATTTCTGATATTAAGAGTGTGGTGTGATTCTACTGTTTGGAAATAATTGTCAAAGAGTAGAATCACAATAATGGCGAGAGTTTACGGTGGAAAACTCGGCTCGAGCTTCATTAAGAGTACGGTGAATTAAAGCAGGGCCGGCGGAACGTTTTTCAAAGTGGGGGCCCCACTTATAAGCAGGCGCGTAACAGGGGTCTTGGGGTGGTGGGGGGCGGCAAAGGTAATAATTTTCCCGGTTAGTAATTTATGACTTGGAGTGATACCCCCCCCCCCATATAGAAAACATTATTTTATTAATAATATAGGGCGTTATTTTATTATTATTATTATTATAGGGCACACGCGTGTGTTTGAAACTAAATATAAGCATTTTCATCGTGGTTTTATTTATTACAATTCATAGGCCTATTCTTTCACCATCATTACACATTGAGGCCCTTCTTTAATAGGTAAAACGATCTATCTTAAATTGTCTTTCTTGAGTTTGGGACTATGTGTTATAACTTAGAAAGCAAAGGGGAGCAAGCACAAGCTTTAACATGAATAATGCGCGCGAAAAATTTTTGTTTTTTAAATTCTAATTTCGTCGGAATTGATCAAAACTCCCTAAAATGTGCAATTTTTAGAGGAAATTGGCCTACCTCAACAAAATATGCGATTTAAAATTTGAGATTTTCAGGCACTTTCCC